TGCGCTTACATTTAACACTAGGACGGACAATGCATTGAAGGGGAATGTGGAGTAGACATGATAATTATAATAACAGCTTAGGAGGGTGGAGTCCCATTCTTTGATAATGTGGACCGTTTAATTGAATATAATTCCTTTCGAAGTTGAATGAGAAATACGTTTAGTCACATTGATCGCATGGAATAACAAATGAAGTTTTTTTTACTTTGTAATTGAGCTCAGCAGTTTTTTGAGAGACAGAATCTGAAACTGAAGTATAAAAAATCATTATTATATTTTTTTCAACATCTCATCTGTTTTATGCATTTGAGATAATAATACTCCTTTAAAGACTTAAATACTATTTAAACTGTTGCTAATCTTGTTAAAATATTGAAAATGGTACAAAGCAAACGAAACATTGGAAGAATCTTTGGAAGCTTACGTTTTTCGTTTGTCACTGTTACTTCCTCCCCTGTAACCAGTGAAATGACTATTGATTTATACGTAGACTAGCTGACCCAGCGAACTTCGTACCGCCATAAAAATAGGGGCAGGTGGTAGAAGAGAAACTTTAGGGTTGTATGTATTTTTTAATACCACATTATAAAAAAATAAATATTGTCCAAAAAAATTTTTAGGTAAATTTAGGTGTAATGTAGTGTTCTATCAATTTCCTGGGATAACATTCCTCCTAACCCATATGAGAACACTACGTTACCAATACCCAATAGTTTGAATTTAGGCGCGAAGGCGCATTGTAGATTTCAGAAAACTACGTTACAGGTGGACTACCATTATCACTTAAGGATATGAATGATGTATGAATCATCAAAATCGGTCCAGGCGTTTGGTCTCTAGTGTGCCACAAAGGAACAAACATACATATATAGACTGTTAAACACATAACCCTGTCTGCGAGTCGCGCTTCGCGCTCTTGCATTGCGCAGCCGGATAAAAATAGATAGTAGCCGATTCTCAGACCCACGGAATATGCATATAAAATTTTATAAAAATCGGTCAGGCCGTTTCGGAGGTGTATGGTAACTAACATTGTGACACGAGAATTTTATATATAAGATTAGAAATAAAACCCAAAACGTTCCGCCCCAAGTGCTTACGTGGCGTCACCGAGTCTGGCACACGATCCAAGCCAATGCCCACTGACCGTAATGTATTCCTGTACTCCCAGATTGTGAAGCAGGCCACGTATTGTGATGGAGCGCTACTCAGCATTGTTTGAAAGATGACCTATGCAACATATGAAGCTTCGGTACTTTGGTTATCGTCATTTGTTTCTGGTATTCTTCTTTTCATGCCTTTGACTTGGAACAAGAACTTGTAAAGCATAGATGTAATGCTATGATGTTTGAGCGTTAGACAATATTAACAAAAACAAATCCTAATAAAGTACCTAATTATCTAACCAAAAAGTATCAGTGACGTTTTGGCAGATTGCATTTGACATTAGACCGCTTTTTGATACGGTTTCACCATAGTTCATATGGTTCCTAGCATCATACATTTGTCCCTCTTTGTATGTGTATATTAGTCGACTTTAAATAGTTGAATTTATTCCTAGTTCTTTTTCTGAGTTTTGACTAGAGACGGATCATGCTTCTTGTGCACCACTGTCTCTTTTATTTAACTCTCATTATAGAAAATGGTCTACACAATAGAATGTGTCAAATAAATCTTTCAACTCTACGTAAATATATTTATTTTCATCACGAGCGAGATTTTACTATTTCTTAATTATCAACTATTTCTAAAATTATGCTTTTTGATGTTGAAATCTCTAATCTTAATTTCTTTTATATTGTGATTTAGTGAAGCCTTGATGCTTTTGAGTCATAAGTTTGGCGCTTATGTACCCATCGATGTATATTTATTGTATGCTGTAAACAATAAGCATTGAAAGTGTACTCAATTCCCCATTGTCTTTCTTTTCCTTCGTAAAAAATATTACGGTACTTACGCGACGTTCTGCAAGACTGCCAATAAAAACATTGTAAACATGTCAATACGCGTGTGTTACTCAAAATGTTAGAATGTATTGGTAAATATTATTCTCCTTACTATGAAGTTTTTTGTTAACATAAAAAAGAACTCTTCTTCTTATTGCCTGGCTGTGTATATTTCTGTCTCATGCTGCGTCAACACCTTTGATACTGTGCCGACCAACCTCACAAGGGATAATAAATTTGAAATATTTGTATGCCTGTGAATGACTCCAAACATTACTCATCACTCGTACTTCCTGGTCATACCCCGTGTAGTAGCTCCGTGAAGAGGTGAGCCCAAAATATTGTGGCGAAACATTTGTAGAGTTAGTTGGTACTGATTGCGAAGGCATCGCTTGATGATTCCAATCGCGAGCGGGCGGTGTATAAGTAAAATGCGATATAGTAGCTATAACTATACTAATATTATAAAGCTGAAGAATTTGTTTGTTTGGTTGAAGGCGTTAATCACAGGAACTACTGGATCGATTTAAAAAAAAAATGTGTTGGATAGTGCATGTATCTATATAGTATATTCAGGATGGCTATAAGCTATAATAACATAACGCTACGATTAATAGGACCGTACCACCAATAAAAATGCAGCGAAAACGGGATTTTTTTTCTCCATCTCAGAGTTTCTGTTACTTGCTCTGCGTAAACGATTTGTTGTTTTATAATTTTTTTATAAAAAGTCCGCGACTATCTTTTAAGGGTGACCCACTTAATAACCGTTTTCCTCAAATTAACGCGGGGAAAACCGCAGGACACCTCTAGTCATAACAAAAGCAGATAATTATTTTACATTCAATGCAGTTCCGCAAATAATAAAGCCTAACACTGATGCTAATGGGATTTTGGAGATATCTTTCACAATTTCATTCACCATATTTTAGAATGTCCTCGTAAATGCTGTAATGGATAAAATGCCGAATTTCACGTCAATATTTGATAAAATAAAATAATTACAAATATCGGATTATTCGGCCTCACTAGCCTTGACGTTGTTTTTTAAAACCTTAATTCCTACAACCTTATTTGGTCCTATACAGTCTGTTCAATTGAGAAAAAGATTATTGGTGCATATTGAAGACGTGATTCGACTTGCGTACAAATGACACATGTCACGCACGGACGAGTCTTGTTTTGTATGTATGCTAGGCCTCTTACTCGTATAAAATTCAGAACACAATCATACGGGTGACAGTTACCTTAGATGGCTTTGCATTGATTCCAGCTAGTAACGGTATTTCATTGTGATGGCATGCGGCAATGAAACCTTATAAAATACCACCCGATCCCGTCGTCCGATCGTCACGTTGAAACGAAAAATGCGTGAAATTGTGAGAGGTTCTAACATTTGGGTCCGAAATCCTTTAATGGTTGTCGCTTGCCTGTGAATTCGACAGGTTGTGTGCATTTTTCATATTCATTTTATCTTTTGGGAATTGCTCCTAGTTATCATCATAAAACGCACGAACTTTAGTAGTATTACGATTTCATATTAGACAAGCAACTTCCTTCATAATCACTATCTTCATGTAGCTCTTTATCCGCGTTGAAGTGGATTAGATACACGGTTATAGAAAAAACAAAATATAATTGTCTAAAAAATTTTAAATCAGCACAGGGTTAGGTTAGATTAGAAACTAGAAAAACTGTATGGTGCAATACGCTTCAACTTCTTTTTTCCCTAACTCGAAATTTTGTGAAGCTTCATACGAGTTAGTATGATCAACTTTTATTCCCTGTTTTGACCCCCCCCCCTCCCGTTTTAACACTTACCACTAACTTCTAAAACAAATGCAACCAGCAATTTTTAGTGGTAACGATGAGCTCATCTACCAACTATCACGTTTTTAGGGTTCCGTGCCCTAAAAGGAAAAACGGAACCCTTATAGGATCACTTTGTTGTCCGTCCGTCTGTCAAGACCGTTTTTCTCAGGAACGCGTTGTAGGTATGAAACTGAGTTTGTACGGAACCCTCGGTGCGCGAGTCCGACTCGCAGTTGTTTTTTGTATTTGGCGAAATTTCGTACCCCTTTTCCTTTGCGAGATGTTCGATAAATCCATCTGATGATTCTTTTGCGTTTGCATCTGAATAGTTTTGATCCACCGCCATACTTTTGCCAAGTCGAAGGATGAGTCGTCAATAAACGACGTATTGTTCGATATTCTTATCAATGGCTTCACCACTAATGGAAGTAGCAATATCGGGTGTTCTCTTAGAAAGTAACTTGTGAGCACCCAATGAGCTACAGAAAGACCTTTTATACTAATTAGCTAACGATTATGGTTATATAAACACATTTTAAAAGAAAATAAAAAACCTGTTTTGTTTCATTGCTTTTACGTTTCATTGAGTTATCTCAGATAATCCCTAAATTATATGTCGACGATTTAAATCGACTCGACGACGAAATCAAGATTTTTCAGAGAGAGAAAGAGAAATTGCATTATAAAATAATTCAATAAATATGCTAAACTCCGAGTAATAAATTGAACGGACGGAAGAGAAACATTCTACTGAATGGTTATTATAGTAATGACTAGAAATTTAAAGACTTAATAAGGCAAAACAGCTTATAAAAAATAATAAACGTCTCACATAAATCAACGAAGTTCCTGATAGAAGAGGAAAAAATATAAACAACAAGAATTTCTTGTTGTGTATAAAGATGAATTCCGAAGTACATTCGTGATAAACGTTCGTAAATATTTTTCAATGTCTATTATAAGGCATCCTGATTGGTGTGGCAAAAGTTCTGCCATACTATCAGTACCTTAGCACGAACCAATATCGAATTCGAATAGTTTGCGAGTGCGATATGTCATTGTCAAACGAAAAACGTTTATAAGTATTTAACATTTGAAAGAAGAAATATCAAATGTAGGTGTGGAAGTTACTGGTTCGAATCCTATCTGAAACCTGGACCGAGTGGATTTTTTTATTGTAAAAATGAAATGAAATAGGTAACCTAATAATATTTATTTTCATTGGTTTCAGGATAAACCGCCATGTTCAACTTTATAAAGAAATCGACCGTCTTAACGGGTGGTGACGGCGGCGCCTGCGAGGAGAGAGACGGCGAGAAAGAGAGACGCAAACGGGAGAAGAAGGAAAGGAAGGAGAGGGAGAAGCGGGAACGGATAGCTGCCGGGCTCGAGGAGCCGCTGCGACTCGAAGAGGTCAGTGTCAATGTACGTGTCACTGGAAAAATATTATTCTCATTTGGTATTCAAGATGTGGCAGCGACATCTACATGCCCCACAAATTAATCTTCTTCCCCTTTGGCCTTCCTACAAAGATATCTAGGAGATCAATGCCATAAGTGGTTAGCGCGTTCGGCTGCTATTATTGGATAATTCCAATAATAGCAGCCTGTGAAACTTGCTTAATAGCAAGTTTCACAGTAGTCGGTCATTGGATGAGTTACCTTACCAAAAAGATATATCTCGAGCTCCTTCCTGCTTCGAAAGGAACGTTAAGCCATTGGTTAGGCTGCATCGACAGTCCTTAGCTTCCACCAATCTGCACTGGGCCCGCGTGGTAGGTCATGGCCCAATCTCCCTATTCCATTTATAGAAGAGGCCTGTGTTCCAGCAGTGAAGACATTTATAGGCTGATTATGATGATGATGATTCTAGATCTCAAACAAAAGAACATCGAAACGTATTTGTTAGGCGGCGGTTAAATAAAAAATATACGCTTAAAGTATTAAATAAAAAGAATTAAATATTATAAGTAAAAGAATTATAACTTAAATTTAAGTTTTATTTCTATAGGTTGAAGCCTTGCAATAGAACCGATGTTCTTTTACTGAATATGGGTATAGGTACTAGCTTTAGTATTTCGGAGTGACTATCAGAGATCTCTGTATATAAAAATTAAATTAAAGTGCGGTGCCTTTAAGAGGCTTATTATCACACTTGCGTCGGCACAACGATTTTTAATACTTGTCTAATATCGTTGTGTATATCATTGCGAGGGTCGTCGCTCAAAATATTTCACACCAAAAGCTAATCAAAAGAAGAATTCCTATTACCGACGGCTTTAAAAAATAGCTAAAGATTAACATATCTTTGGATAGACTCACAGCGCAGCAAATGCAGATCAATTATCTCTGCCTACTCTAGAGCAGCTCGATGGTGCAAATGATTAGTGCGTTCGGGGCTGTTATAGTTAAAGTTGAGCAACTGCCGCAGTAGTGTCTAGCTGTAGCTCTTAAAAATGATTGCTCTGTTGGATCATAAAGCTATACTGGTACCTCACCTGACATATATCTTTAATATATTTGTCTAGCGGCGTTTTTCCAAAATCTTTGATAATTTAAAAAAATCATCCAATTTACAAAGGGGGAGGGGACAGCGTCTGTATTGGAAACTATCGGCCTGTAGCAATTCTTCCAGCTATTTCCAAAATACTTGAAAATATAATAAATAGTAGGCTGATTCACTAACTGGAAACTAAGCATTTATTATCTGAACATCAATATGGGTTTTGTCGTGGTAGAATGACAAACGATGCAGTTAATAATCTTACCAATTTTGTGTCAGCAAATTTAGACAAAGGTTGTTAATGTTTGTCAGTATTTTTGAATTAAGCAAGGGCGTTGGATACGGTCTCTACCCCTCTCCTCTTATGTAAGCTAGAAAAAATTGGAATTAGAAGCACACAACTAGCACTTTTTGCCGATTACCTAAAAGATAGAAGACAGTTTGTTAAGGTCGGCTCCTACAGCAGCACTCATCTCCCGATAACATATGGCGTGCCTCAAGAAAGTATCTTAGGACCCACCCTCTTTCTCATGTATATAAATGGCTTGTTGTGTATTGACAATTTTCAAGGAAAGATGATTTTTTTTCACTGCCAAGACCTGGGGGCCAATCGCCTAACGGAAATGCTTTGGGAAACTGCCAAGACCTGGGGGCCAATCGCCTAACGGAAATGCTTTGGGAAACGCTAACGCTTACGATTTTATATTGTTATTTCTAGCCGGCTGAGGTTTTCGAATACCTCACGCTCATTTTTTTTAATATTGTTATTACCAATGCAAAAGAAAAAGAAAGAGCGCGAGGCATTTGAATACCTCAGGCGGCTAGAAATAACAAAATAAAATCGTAAACGTTAGCGTTTTCCAAAGCATTTCCGTTAGGCGATTGGCCCCCTGGAACGAAACTTATAAACTTGCCCAAAACGGTTTTTGTCTGGTTAAGCAAAAACGTATTAACTTTAAATGCCGTTAAAACTAAATATTTAGCTTTTTCTCTTCGCAATTACGCAGAAATACTACACCATCTTAAGTTAGCCCATGACTGTTCTAATTACCAAAATAACTTGCTATGCCAATGCCTGCTACTTGAGAAGGTTAACTCAATTAAGTATTTAGGCGTCATTATTGACGAACATTTTGGATTTAAGGAACACATTAATGCCATAATAAAAAGGGTACGTAGACTCATGTACGTATTTAAGACCTTGAAACATGTGGTTACGCCTAATGTACTTAAACAAATTTATTGCGCTTTGTGTCAGTCCCTCCTCACATACTGCATAACATTATGGGGAGGCGCACCAAAAACAACGCTGAAACAATTGGAGGTAGCGCAAAGAGGTATTTTGAAAATATGTACTCATAAACCCTTCCTGTATCCGACCAAGTTACATTACGAATACTGTGAGGTTTTGACGGTGCGACTATTATTCCTTCTGCAAATTGTTTTAAAGCAACACTCTTTGCTGGAGAACCGTCCGGATCTTCTTAGGTTTGCTGTATGTGATCAATCCATGAGGTCGAAGACTACTTTTTATGGAGATTCCTTCTCTTTTTGAGTCCAATTGTTTACAACAAAATAAACATTAAATAGGTTATTGGTCAAAAATCAGTATCATCCATTCTATGTTAAAATCATATGAAGAGACAGAGGAGCTTCTTTCTATACAACGATAATGCAATTTTAAGTTAGTTCTGTTATGATGATTGTGCACATGGTGTTATTAAGTTTGTAGTGAATTATATTTTTAAGAATAAAAATGTTGTCATCGTTAAGAATCCATTGGACCGTTTTCATGCATACTTTTACACATCCTCTCTCATACATCTATTCGCTCGCACATTACACACAAAGAGGTCATTCACATTGGCAATTTTTATTTTACCAGTTTACTAGAATCAAAATCCAATAGGTATTTCTTGTAATATCAGCATTGAACATGAACTTCACTAGCTTATAGGATACAAGTAATTGTCTAAACCTGAGGATTGAGGCAATCTGTATGCTGAAATACAGGATGAAAATCCTAGTTCGGCAGCAGATGCTAGTTTGTCTTTTATATTCTTAAGCTCATATATTGTGTCTATATTTTATAAGATGTTACTTATATGCTGGTCTAAATAAAGATTATTATTATTAGGCTGTCTGTCTGTGTGTATAGGTGACCAAAAATTAACTACCTCGAGGTGGTGCGATTGTTTGAAGTGTTCGCTCCGTATACGTACGTGCGTACGTTTTTACCGTATTGTTGATGACGAAAACAAATGCGCTGACATCAGGCAGCAGAGGGGTCCCGTCTGCTGCCTGGTCCGGTGGGGTTCTTTTTCTAGTAAAATTTTCTTTAGATTAAAACATCTAGCAGTTAAATGCTTAAAAAATAAAATCATAAATTACTAATTTTCAAAAAATAATTTCATTTTTTTAAAATAAGAATAATTTGTACTTAGAATTCTTAGCAATCAAAGAAAAAAATATGGACCTGATATAGTCAGTTCGGCAGAACGGCAATTTCATAGGTAAAGACCTATTATCTTAATTCATAAGTTATTAAAACGATACATGTATAGAACTTTCAGCAAATATACAAACGAAATTCCGTTATGAAACGTCGAACTGTCAGTTATCACTAGACAAATGAAAACTATCACTTGTTAGGTCTGGTTATGGATTCACGTTTAATAAACCTGGCAAGTCTAGTTTTGTTTTGGCCATTTCGTTTAGTGGTGTAGCCGATATTGCATTACGTCACAAGGTCAATACTCTGTCAATGTTTTTAGAAATTAATACTGCCGTTGTCTATTTGTTACAATCTCTTAATTTGCATTCACTACGGTAACTCTATAGCTATGTTGTTAGTTATTTATGTTATAAATTTAAATTGAGCTTTAAATGTTAATAGTCTTATAAAGTCTGTTTGTATTGGAATACTTTTATTTCGTATTTCAGCTTCGGCAGTAAATTTCTGAAAGATCATCTAATGACAGCGTTTTGCTTAGTTTTGTTTATTTACATTCTCGTTTTTATTTTCATATGATTGATAGGTTCCTCATATGTAATGTTGTTACTATTGACAAAATTACTTTTTGTTTATAAATAAAGTTTATAATGTTTATAATATTTATGTCTTTAAACCTAATAAAGATTAACCGCCTTATAACAAAACGTTGACTAAATTTAAACCTGGTTCAAATTGATTAGACTAGACTGGTGAAAATTGATGCTGTCACTTTTGTTTGCTAAACAGAAGACAGAGGCAGAAACAGGTTTAAAATAAGACCAACTTTAGTCCGCGTTTTGGAATAACACAGTATGAGTTTAGGAATTACGTCGCAAATGGACTTAAAAAAAAAACATACAGAACTTGTTACACATGTCTTGATGGATTTCTGCATGATGGACTTGAGAAAATTACCGTTCGTATTCCAGACTAGCTTTCGTCGGCGTCTTCATCCCCTTCATCTTATTTTTCGAGGGAACTTTCCACAAAGTATTAGAAAACTAAAACAGATGGTTGAAATCTATAAAGTCGTTCTCAAGTTATGGTATCGTCAAAGAAAATAGGGATTCATTTTTAAATATAATTTTTTATACTTATTTATTCACCGATTTCGAACAAACATGAAATCGGTAATATCTTTTCATTCCATAACCTGATAGAGATTGGAAAAAATTGGGATTCTTTGTACATAATAAAATTACAAACAGTGGTGCCTATTCTGGCAGGATTCTCTAAACTTAAAACTAAATTTAAATATCAGTCTGTCCTTTTCATTCTGCATAGAGAATGACAAAGATAAACTGTTGTCAAAAAGTTTAGCTTTAGAGAATCATGCCAGAATAGACAACAGTATCTCTTATCTATTAGACAAGTCCGTCCGTCTGTGGTGCTGTTTCAGCGGCCAAACCGTAAGAGA